TAATAATATTCTAATATAATAATTAATAAATAATAAATAATAAAATAATAAACTAATAATTAATTCGTTCTATAACAGTATACTAATATCAAATGGGGTGAGGTAGTCAGACCGATAATCTCGATTCCAGCTATAATAAATAGTAGGGTTGTAAGAGAAATCAAGGCTCTGTGCCTTAATTCCACAAATAACCGAATAAATAGAAAAATTTGTAAATATTTAATCTGTAATTAGAAAGTTATTTATTAATTAATCAAGTATAATAAAAAAGACGCCACCAGCATTCTGGCTGACTTAGTCAGTCTGAAAAATTAAAAAAAAAAAAATTATATTATACTATATTTAAATTTAGTATTTTGAAGATGCAACTATTTATATTAGTGGAAGTACTTATTCAACAATTGGCTTTATAGTTCTAGCTTATAATGCTTTATTTGATATATTGGAAAAATTTATTAAAAAAAAAAGTACAATTCCAATTATTAAAAATGCAGCTAAATTTGGTATAGATAAACTTGAAAAATATTATTTATCAACAGAAGGATTAGCTTATATTATTGGAACAAGTATATTTTATAATTTATATTTAAATTAATTTATATATTATATTTAATATTAATTTATATTTTAATTAATTAGTTTTAGATCCTAGACTTAAACTAGAATATTATTGAGAACATGATTTTGGAGAATATATTCAAACATACCAAACCCAAATAGAAGAGTTGTAGAAATCTAAATACCAACCTCAACCTTCTAAAAATACAAATAAGGTTCAACAAAATCGTTCTTAAAATAAAATACTAGCTAGTATTTTTTAAAAATGCAAAAAAGGCAATCCTTTAGATGAATTGGCTACTTATTTAAGAGAATCTACTGCTGATCCTAATGATGATGAAAATGATATTGATATTTTAGAATGGTGGAAAGTAAGTATCATTATTTAATTATATTATTACTGTATTATTATTTATTATTATTATAAAAATTAATTTTAAATTTATAGAATCATGAA